GGCTTCCCTGCTTCTCCTCTCCCCCAGGTTTATGTATGTATATAAATATATATATATTACAGATGCACACATGCAGATAAGCAGATGTGCACACTGTGCGGTACAGTGCATACTGTGCAATACCATGCACTGACATCCATGCAAATAAACAGATGCACACACTGACACACAAGCAGATACAAGGACTCACACACTGGCACACATGCAGATACACAGATACAAATACTGCCAAACATGTGGGTGGACAGACACACAGATAGAAACACTTGCATACATACAGACATAGATACAGACACACAAATTCACACAGAAACACACATACAAACAATGCCACACAAGCAGATACACATACACATAGATACAAACAATGACACACACATACAGTTGCACACACTGACACACACAGATACATAGACACACAGATACAAACACTGACACAAATGTAGGTACACAGATACACACTGATACACATGTAGAAATACAGACATACAGATACAAACACTGACACACATAGTTGCATAGACATACATGCAGATGTACAGACAAAGAGATATGAACACTGCCACACCTACATATACAGACACATAGATACACACACAAACAGTTACACACACTGTCACACATACAGATTTTCAGACACTGCCACACATGCAGATACACACACACAGATGCAAATAGTAACACACATACAGTTGCACAGACACACTGATACACACACAATAAAATAACAATATTGCCTTTTCATTTGATAAAAGTATTTATCTTTTAATGCATTCAATATATCCACTGATGCACTTTGCTTTGATCTAGCCCTTTATATAGGAATGATTGCACTATTGCACTTATTATATACACGTCTTTATTGTCCACTTGTAATGTATTACTTGATTTAGTTTTGATGAATTCACGTTTTTACATTTTTATTTTTTTTCACTTTAATTGATTTCTACACCCAAAGGATTTTCACTTTTTAATAGTCTAATGTTTTTAATAGTCTAATGATTTTATACACTTCAACTTTATTCATTTTTCACATATGAATACTATTTTGAACATTAATTATTTTTGGTCAATATTGTTATTATTGTTTTATATATATGCTACTTGGATCAGCTTTGGCTTATGTAAGATACATATGTGTATTGATTATGTTTTGCATATATACATATTACATGAATATCTATTTGTATACATCATTATCCTTTATTTGTTGTATTGTATATTTTTATGTTCCTCCATCCCTTCATTTATTCCATACTTTTGCATATTTAGTATTGATTATTCATAGTTATTTTTTATATAGTAACATTAATTTTTTTCTTTGATTTATGAGCCTCTCCTGCTGTTTTGTCCAGGCTTATTAGACGAACGCCGATCTCTGTCGGCTGTGAGTATGTAGGTAGTTTGTCCATAGCCGGTTTTGATCGGTGACTCCACTTTTGGTTGACAACTGCATAGATGCCTGGTTGGCAGTAATGAAGGCTCCACATGTTGACCTTGTTTGGAGTTCCTGTGTTTAGTTCTGGTTTCCGATGGTTGAATGGGTTGCTGGAGGGATAGCTAAAGATATGGAGCAATTAGAATATTTAGCCTTATTTTTTCTTTATGTTTTAATATTTTTCTAGTTTTTCATTGTTTTTTTTTTTATTATCTATTAATCATGTATGCACTATAAATTGATTTATGATATATATGAATGTATTTATACACAATTTGCTTCTTAATTGATTGATTTTATCTATATGGTTTGTTTTACTAATTATGTTAATAGTCAAAAAAAGTTTACACCCTTAAAATGGGGCATTAGTTCAATGTGGTGACAGCTTGATAAAGGCCTCTGTGTAGGCCAAAACATTGCACATTTTGTTTTCAATAAATCTGCCTTTTTGAAGAAACCTTTAGTGCCTGGACCATCATTTTACTAACAGATACAAACACTGACACATATGCAGATGCACTGGGACACAGATACAAACACTGCCTGCCACACATGCAGTTGCCCAGACACACTGATACACAAACCGACACACATGCAGATATGGACACATAGATACTATGACACACATACAGATACAGAAACACAAATACAAACACTAACACACATACAGACACAGATACAAACACTGATACACATGCTGTTGTACAGACACACAAATACAAACAGTGGCACACATTCAGATACCAAGAAATACAGATAAAGGTGTATAGATGCACAAACTGACACACATGCAGATACATAGGATTGCAGATTTAAACACTGACACACATACAGACACCCAGATACACACATGCAGATGCACAAACACAAACAATGAGACATACATACAGATACACAGATACAAACATACATACACACACATAAAGGTCACAATTTTAGCCACTCTAAAGTTTCTTAACTTTTAGGTGATTAGGGTGGCTTCTGCTGGCTGTGGCTGGTGGGAGTTAGGGGCTGGCTCCTTTCCCGGTCCGGTACCCCTCTCACGGTTTGCTGCTCCCCCCACCTGCAAGACTACTGTGTGGAACTGTATCAAATGCCTTGGCAAACTCAAATAAGTCACATCCACTGCAAAACCCTGATCTATACTTCTACCTTTGAGTCATTTGGTTGAAGTGAATCAATATGGTACACCCAATCCATTTTAGCTCTTCCAAGTCACTAAATAAAATCACCTCCTCTCCAATGCTTAGTAATGAAAGCAATGCCCATAAAGTTTAAAAAGACTATCAACACCTTTCACAAACCTTTCACAATGTTGCAATAGTGTTCCGCTATTCTAGTTTTTAACGGTCTAGTAGTTTTACCCATTTACTGAAGGTCACAGGAATATTCTAAGAAATAAATAACATTTTTACTATTGCACACAACTGTATTTTTACTGATACAAACAAAGGTTTTTTGTTATATGTTTGGTTTTCCTAATAAACATTTTTTGTTAAATCACATTTAGAGAAATTTCTAGGCTTTCTCAGTCGGCTGAGAAAAAGAAAATCGGTGAAACATGTCAGGAGAACCTGTGGACACTATCTTATTGCTATTAGTATTTGGCTTGTTTCTACTTCTTTCACTTACTTTCCTGACAGATTCCTGGCAGATCACCTTCTATCTAAAGAAGGGCGGTGTTCCCCTTTAGTGACACATCTTATTATACTGAGAACCAACTATACAGGTTCTCAAGAAGGTGAGTAGTACCAGAACTTTACTTTTTACTAGAGTATTGTATTTACATTATTACACAAAGTTTTGCCTTTATCTGCTTTATCTCCCTCTCTGGGTCCTTCTAAACCAAAGAAATAGGTTTTGGTTTTACCATAATATACCCTGCTGTTGTGATCTGAGCCTATCCTCAATTGGCTCAATCCCATGTGAGTGCATTCAACTCCCACCTCACAGATTTCCTTGTTGTCAGTTGTAATGCACTCTATTGTATATTCTCTAAATCTTCCATATAGCGTCCCCATTTTTGTAAGGGTAAGTGTGTACTTATATAGTGCTTCACTGGGTTTGCTAGTATGAATTAATCTGGTGAACTAAAAAGAAAAGAGAAAATTATAGGAAAAAATAATAAAAGTTCTTCAGGCTTAGCTGCAGCTGTCAGTGCCACTTACATCCATTTTAATTCACTAATTTAGACTTATTTTTATTGATTTGTGATTTATTTTTTATTTTATTTCTAGCAAGTGACAGATTGTTTGATTTGCAGTGTGCTTCTGTGCCACTGCTTGTGGTTTGTAAATTGCAAGCTTCTTCAGTAATATATACAGTGTGTAGCTACAGTTTACTGCAAATTGTATCTTGCCTACACTGAGAATGGC